TTATTTGATGGATACACTCCCCAATCGATTTTATTATAATTTAAATCTGTTATGTCTTTTCTTGAAAATATGTCTTTTATTGTAACCAGTATGCACCAGCGAAAATTTTTATTACATATGTAGCTATGCTTCTCGCCTAATGCATTTTATATAAAAGTGACGTCAGCGAAACATGTTTATATAAAACTATACCTAAGCCTATATTTTTCCATTATTTTAATCGCTCAAGACGTATTGTTTGGAGCCGAGAAGCCTTAGTTTGTAGTTTGGTCACTCATCAGGAGTATAAAAAATGATTATTCTTGTAAGAAGCCATATCTGGATTTTTTTTATTTATTAAAAACATCAAAAAGTTTATTTTCCATATTGTTGGAAGTGCCCAAGATACCATAGAAATATTCTTCTCCATTTATCCTTTCAATAGATTTTTAGTTAGGTGAAGTCTATCATAAAGAGCAATATATTAAAATCTGATTATGTGATAAGGCCCTATTTTTTGGGGGGTATAATGCGGGTGTCCTAACACGAGTCTGTTCGACTCGTGTAACGTAACGCAGTTGAATATTTGTAAAATAAACATCGAATCCAAAATAATAGATTTTTAAAAAAATCAAAGAAGAAGGAAAAATATAATGAAAATATTAAAAATAAATGTAAAGTAAGAGTGGAAGGAATGTTGGTTGAGGATAACTAACATAAATAGTTGATTGTTGTGTAATACACCGCGTTTAAATTATAAAAGAATATTTCAGAGAATGATTTATTAAAATATATTTTAAGGTCGTTTTTATAAGAAAATTTAAACAATCTTTCCCAACTTTAATTTCTGCGGCTGATTAAGTCATTGCTATGCATTGATTCATTTAACATTTCGGGAATTAAATGATTCTGACCACCGCTCATTGATGTAAGATAATAAGAATTCGTTGTTGAGTCATATGGCTAGAAATAGTTCCGTATTACTAAAAATCAAACTGTTACTTTCCACTGACCTGATAAACAAGTCAATCTGAACGGTTACGCATAACGTGTGTGTGTTTCGTGATTATATTACACTACCTAAACTAATGCTATGTAACAAACTGTTGGTTAATATAGCCTGTATGATTCTCACTTCAACATGGGTATTGTATGAGACGGCCTCATAATGATAAGTAATTCATTAATTAACTGAATCTATAAAATCCCTTAGTTGATCCATGCAGAGTATACTCTGTCCTTAACTATACATTTCTATCAAAGACAAAAATTTTGATTTTAAAATTATTTTTCTGATTTTTTTATTCGAATGTTATTAAAAAAATATATAAAAGATGATACACCGTCAAAAATATATAAACACATACAATTTTTGAAATAATCATTTTACGATGGTTATTAATGTTTTTTTTCGTAAACAGGTAAGACCAATTACGATTGTTCCCAATTATGGCTTATTATTTTTTTTTCTAATTAAAAAAAAAAATTCGTACCACTATAACCACATGAAGGGTTTTGGGTGACTACTATTTAGAAAAGTACTGTTTCTTGATCAACGGTTGTGCAAGATGGTGTGATTTTGAGGTTTGGATTTGACCGAGATCGCGCTCAACCGCCAGGTTTTCCCTCTTAGTTAATTATTTAATAATGAGTACCCACTTTATAGAAGCTGGGTGAGCCCCAGAAGGGTCTCACGATCCCAGGCTGAAGAAACAGAATAATTAATTTATCTGCCATAAGCCGAGATTCGAACCTCGGACCTCGAGCATTTGAAATTCAGCGCTCCCCACTCCCCTTTTTTCTAATTTAAATATGCTAATATGTTATTTGTAATTTTGTAAAAAATCCTAATTAAAATAAAGCACATAATTTTTAAGAACTGAATTTCATGCCTGAGGAATATGTATTTTAAAATATATTATTTAAAATACTTTATTTGCAATACTACCCAATTCAGCTCAATATTTACAGTTAGAAGCGGGGTAGCTCAAAGATTTGGATAATTAGGTAGCAGTGTGTAAGGTACTGACTTTCTATGCTCAATGTCCCAGATTCGAGTCCGGCTGTGGTAGATAATTATTTATTCTGCTAAATCAGCAGTGGATCGACCCTGAAGTCGAGGAACCTTCCTGGGGCACATCCTGTCTTTATAAAGTATGTACTCTTAATTAAATAATTAATTGAGGGTGGAAATATGGCGATTGAGCGCCATCTCGGGCAAATCACATCCCTATATAACCGTTTTTTTTTTATTTATTCATTGAGCATTACAACAATCTGTCACTTAAACATTAGTCACAGTGAGGTAGGATAACATTCATATTACATGTACAAAAAATATAAAATAAATAGAAGCAAAATAACAATAAATAATAATCAAAAAGTATATACAATAAATTAAATAAAATCACCTAAAAATAAGAAAATTAAAACTAAGCACAAAACACATTTATACCTATATACACTATTTACATATATAACCGTTAACAAAAAAATAGTACTTCTTTACAAAGTGCGTAAGACCACGAAAGAGTTGTAGTGGTACAATTTTTTTTTAAAATTTTTTACAGTGCAATTATTATTTTATTCTTTGAGTTGGCCCAAAATTATTATTATGATTTTTTTTATTATCGACTTGCTCTGGAGTATTCCTGGTTTTGTATTAATTACAAACATAATAGAATATTGAAAAATATATCTATCTTTTGCACGTATATAATAGTACGTACGGAATTCCTCATCAGATATGTTTACTTAGTAAATTAACCAAGAGTCACGTCATTGCAATGTAATTGCCAATTTATACTCAGATCACATTCCAGGACTCTTCGGTTGGTGCCTTAGCAAAGAAATTCCAGTTTAATATAACAATGTTTTTTTTTTCAGTTTGTTTCTCCGCGTGTGGATTGTGGAATTACAAAATATTTCAAAGAATTATTCTGATGCCTATAATAATAGATCTTAATAAACTGATTTCTGCTAGGTCCGAAAATAAGTCCAAAAAAGAGCTCCAATATACATAAAGTAAAAAAAAAAAACTGCTGACTTAAGAAAATTTTTCATTATGTAAGACAGTTTTTAGTCAATTATATTGCGAGCTTAATGTGTACGAGATTGTCTTTCTTTGAAATTTCTGTATATTTATATTTCGTATTACTCTTTGATAAGATACAAGGAGCGGGACCAAAAAGTATATGAATAGAATGTATCGAAATTAATAGCACCTACTAATAAAGCTAAATGCGACAAATTAGATAACAATAGTCCAAGATGAATAGGTGGGTGGTGGGGCATGCTGGTTAAGGCGACTAAGGCCAATTGGTAAAAAGAACGATCTTCACTCCTGACAGCTTCAACAATACAAGGAAAAGTGAAATATCTATGACATTGCAAGCAAATAAATTGTTTTTCTCTGACATTTATTCATCTGCTGAAGCATAGGAATAATAATATATATTTATATACGTATATATTAGGTAATTTTAGACTGTTTTATTTGTTACTAGTAGATCAGGATATTTGTTTAACAATGACAGTCTCTCTCTCTCTCTCTCTCTCTCTCTCTCTATATATATATATATATATATATATATATATATATATATATATATTTTAAACTACTTTATTCCTAGAGAAGCTTTCGGTGACCTATATCACATTCATCTCTACTTAATCATTGATTTTAATTCAAAATAATTATAGACAAAATATGAGACGAAGAACGAAACTGTTCCAATATATTATGATTTTAAATAGAAAAATAAGGGATAATGTTACCGAATAAAAATAATAATTGAACGGCAATTTGTTAAAAAAGTATTTATTGTTAATTGTAAAATTATTGATCATAATGTGTTAATAGCGGACCCAGGATTTAATTTTGGGGGCTTCAGACCGGAAGCTTTTTTTTTTTTCTTTTCATTTTCATATATTTAACGATAATGACTTTGTATAAAAAGAAAGATGCTAACTAGCTATATGATGAAATGGCATTAAAGTGGTTCTTGAAGCTCCATTAAATGTAATTACAGGAACAATAATACTTTAAGAGATAAAATTTTTTACCGTAAAACATGGTTACATTTTGTAATTTTTTTTTAGGGGGGGGGAGAAAGAATATCATCCCGAAAGCCCGTAGATGCGCATGTGTAGCGTGTTATATTATATAGATGAATATTGTGCAGGTCACCAAAATCTTCTCTGGAAATAAAGTAGTTACAAGATTATAGAGACTGTCATTGGTAAACAAATATCCTCATCTACTAGAAAAAATATTTAAATAAAAAAAAAAAGTTTTTCCAATTATAATAAAATAAAAAGTCAATGTAAAGAACTTTACTGACATTCAAAGGGCGACATATCTAACTTTTCTTATATTAACAATTGTCTGTTATGTTATAATTCAGATTTTATTTAATTAATTTTTTTAATAGATTCGAGACTTTTGTTGAGGACTACATTACGACTTTCAATTAAAATACGAATAAACAAGAAATAAACCAGAGAAAATTGTCAATAAATAATGAACAATAATATTGAATTTATTTTAGAATATCTTAATAACATAATAAAATTATTCATATTTAAGAAAATTACTTATTCCAATAGAAACATAGTTTGACATTTTTCTTTGTTTTCGTAAAAATTCTATGTAATGTTAATCAAAATTAAACCGTTTCAAATCCTTCAAAACCCAATCTGTACAGTTTTTGAACTAAATGTTACTTGTTATTGTCCGAAATAAGCGTGACAAAGGGTGAAACATGACCTTTCTTAATTTTTAGTTGGCAAACCTGTTAGTTCCAAAATACTACCTATTTTTAAGTCATATTAAAAAAACAAACGAGAAAAAACTATTTATTTGTTTAAAAAAAAAAAAATAACTACAGGAAAATTCGTACACATGAATCTACTTGAGTCAACATAAATTTTAGCCTAGCGATTAAAATTTAATAGCATGCATTAAATAGTTTTAAAAAATCATTTATAATACAGTAAATATAAACAGTATTTACCTACAGAAGAGGTGAAACAGCAAGACGATACAACGTAACCAAACAACTAACCCCTCATCCTCACGAGACCGGTTCGACAACGCTACTGACGGAAACTGCAGTCCCTTCTCAGGTTCTCAGGCAGCCCCCCTCCACGTTACTTTACGATCTTGCTTTAGTACCGTCAGTACCTCTGCTATGAATTAATACCATTTCTTATCAAAATATTTTGTTTATTCACCTTTGTAAAAAGATTGTATGTATTAACAACGAAACAATTACTTACAACTAGGGTTTGAAACGTCTAATACTGGCTTAAAAGACTTATAAAGTCCGGCGGGTATTTAAACTACATCGACACATCTTGACACAATGAATCAGACCTCAGTCAAAAATAGTGCTGAATCAATCCTTCAATTTCGGTCCAATATCTAATCTCAAATCGATCTAAATAAAGGTGCCATTTTAATGTTTAGTATTATTGACGAGACCTTGTAAGAGAACTCCGTTGCATCATTTACATAACTTATTTTCGAAAGGAATATTAATCGATTATTATAGAAATCGAGATAATTATCAAAAACGAACCTAAATATTAAAAAAATAAAAATCAAGTTTATCTCTTAAATATGAACTTTTTACACGTAATGTAATGTATTTTTTAGGATTTTTTTAAAAACAAAAAATCATCAAAAGCTTTTTTAATCGTTTTATTAAAATGTATTTTTTTTCATTTAGCTTGTATCTATTATTCCATTTTCTTGTACACATGCATATCAATTTACTTATTTTATTTTTCTATATTTCTTTTTCTTTATTATCTAAATCTTAGTTATTATTTGTAAGCACATATTGTGTGAATGATTCATGTAGCCTTAATATTAATGCCCTTTAATGTGGCAGAATGCATAAATATTCAATAAAAAAAAAATTTTAATTTAAAATAAATTTATTTTATTGTATCTTTTTGTGAAAAAAGTTAATTTTTTTATAATTAAAATGTTCAACAATAACATTTTTCTATAACAAAGCTGTTTCTTAAATATTAAACAATTAGGAAACAAGAAAAATCCCATTTGATGCAAGAATCCCGTTTTTATGTGCAAGAACTAATAAACTATTGGAAATCGTTAAATGATTAATTGGTAATTTATGGAAATTGTTATTTAAAGATTGGATCAAAATAAAATGCATTTAATTGCAACAATAAAATAAGAATTTTTCGCAATTATATGAAATTCAGTATTATTCATGTTAAGGAAAATAAAATACTTCTTTGAGGAAAGTAAGATCGTAACTGACATAATATTGATTCAATAAAATTGGCAGGTGAGAGGAGTCCATTCAATATATATTTACTTCAATAATGTAGTCCGTTTAAGAGACCCTTAAGAGACAAAAGCCTTTTTATCGATGTAAAAAACCGATAGCTGACGATCAATTAAATGACGAAATACACACAAAAAATACTGGATTGGTTGTTTTCCATTCATGGGGACTATTTTTTTGTTGAGAATAACGCCGGCGTTTAAACCCGAGTCAATTAAGACTCGTGTAACGCAGTTAGATAACAATCGTGTTTATTAAATAAACATACAATCCAAAATATTTTTTGAAATATTAATGAAGAAAGAAAAAACAATGAAAATAATAAAAATAAATGTGCGGTAATAGTAGAAGGAATGTTGTTAAGGATAAACAAATATAAATATTTGAGTGTTGTGTAATAAGGCGTATATAAATAAAGGAATTTCAACGATTACTTTAATGGGATATAAATTTGAGCCCAGAATTTAAATATATATTTTCAAGCTTGTATATTCCAATATATTTATTTTAAAAAATCATGTATTGAAGTTTATGATTGCATAATTAACACACACAAAAAAAAATGCGACATCTGATTAATATAAGACAATGTCTTTTGAAGAAATAAACCAAGTGATAGTTTGTAAATTACAAAGTATCGAGGGCTTAATACACGTCACGTTTAATTTTTAAAAACTTCACTGATAACAAAAACTTCAGTTTAATATTTCTTATGAAACCTCTCTGAAAACAAAGATTAATTTATTATACACAACTGGGTTATATGAATTATATATTATTGAAAAGGCGACTGATTAAAAATAAAAAATCAATTGTTTTATTAGGGCTTTAATAATGGTTCCCTAATAAAGCTTTTTAATAACAATGTCACCAATTCTTATAATGCTTAATTATCTTTAAAATAATTAAAATTGGATTTAATTCTGTCAAAATCTGTCGATAGTTTTTCGAAGATCACGGTAAATTATTATTATTTAACGAAAATTATAAATACTAATTCTTATAAAGAACTGTACTTGCTGATTAACATGGCGTAACAATCTATTTAGAAGGAAGTACCAATCGGTAGTTAGTATTATAATGACAATTTTATGTTAAAAGTTCTTTCTAGACGCCTCGAAGGATTATAGGAAATGATTAGAAAGTAAGTTTAGAAACAAGTGCGTTTGAATTTACCTGTAACGTAAGGATTATAATGTAAGGATAAGTTTCTGTCTATATTTTCCATAAAACGGCGTTTTATCTGACAATTTTATAAAGTTGCGTCTTATCTGACAATATGTTGAACTAAAAAAAATGTATATATTATCTACAAAAATAGAAATATACATATTATCTATAATAAATAATTATAAACTACCATTATTTTCATTACTATAGAACAAAAAAACCTTTTCCCTTACGCGTTTACGTACTACCTGATACCCTACATTGATAAACTGAAATTATGTAATGCATTCATCTATATTTAAATTGATTGATAGAAACTTATGGAGTCTGAAGATTTCCTTTTTAGGAATTAAAATTTTTTTTTAATACTCTGAAAGAATAATAGTTCAAAATAATAATAATGAAAATAGAAATAACCTATGCCTGAATATCATATCTATCCCTGAAAATTGACACATACATTACTTCTAAGAATTGAGCAATCAAACGATGTAAATTATATCTTAAAGCTTTTACGGAATAGCGAAATTATCTATTCTTCGTAATTTTTGAAAAACAAAGTAATTTTTTAATGTAGTTTGACTACTTTACATGTTAGTTTACAATATTGGTAAACTAATATGAATTAGTTAAATGCTTGATAATTTTCCCACCCCAAATCGTTAGTTATTTACTGTAACTTTGTTGCTTACTTGTATAGAATTTTTTAATAAAAAAGTATTTAGTCCAAATGAGATAGGTAAATAATTTCAAATTAATCTCATAAAAATGGACCATAAGGTTTTGTAAGCATATTTTTATTATTTTTTAAATACTGAATTAAATTTCATCGCTAGTTAAAATACATAAAAACGATTTTTTTGGGCTATTAATTAAAGTTTAATTGATTTTAAAATCTATTCAATTGCATCATGTTAGAATTAATGAAAAAATGAAATTACTTTTCATTCATTTTCAATAAAAAGTCAAGGGAAAATAAGATCTTAGTGATTGAGCTCTGTGGCTCATTTATATATATATATATTTTTTTTTTTTTAAATACATAGGTTGATAAATAATCTTATGTATCATCATTATTGGAATAACTGCTGTTTAATATTAATTTTCTTTATCCTTCAAGTGCGATGTACATGTATTTCCTCTCAAGAAATTGTATAGTCCTCCTCTTTGTAACAGCGATTGTGAAATTAGAATTATTAAATTTGTAGTTGATTTACAATTATTCTAGCTGTGGCAGACCATGTTTTCTCTCCATTAACTATCTGTATAATGTTGCCCGAATGCGAGACTTGGTCTTGGTCTTGCAAACTCAGTCTTGGTCGCACAAGACTCTCGTAACAGTCTTGCAGTTACCTAGATATGAGAAACCTAACTAAGTCTGAATGAAAAATTATATGAGTTAAATGCAAAAGTATATTGGTTACACCAATTCTTTACATATAGTAACTAAAATTTTCAAGTATTAGTAACTATTCTGCCTCAAGTTTTATTTAAAAAAATCGATTTTTTTCACCAGTCTTGGTCTTGGTGTTGCAACAGATATGCGGTATTGGTCTTGGTCTTGCAAAGTGCAGACATGTCAGTCTCTTCTGGGCACCTTTGCCGGAGGATGAGAAAAACCTATCTCTTGAAGTTAGGAAGTAGTGATTCCAATTATTTGTCCCATTAAACACAGACTTCCGATTATCCGCGGCGCCCATTAGTAGATATGGCTCATTAAACTTTATTATCTCAGTTGCGTTCACACGACACAACATTGATGATACTAGTTTTCAAGGAAACTATGAGTGGAGTTGTAACAATATCTGAGCATCGTATCTCTACTAAAGTCCGTGGGAATATTATTCGAAGAGGGGAGATAAAAAAATTTTTAATGGCATCAAGTCTGACAAAATATTATCTTTTGATTAATTCACTTGCTATGCTCATTCATATTCACAAATTTTCATGTTTTTTATTTAGTGTATTAATTTGGTGTTTGACCATTCATCATGAATGAAAGGTATTACAACAGTACGAATGTTGGATTTGAGTTTTTTGGGGTAGCAACAAAGATTAATGTCAAAAGAGCTCAAAGTATTTAATAGACACTTTTTAATTTATAGTTTCTATTAATTGGCTTTCAAATGATATAAATAATCCATTGATAGTTGCCAATTAGATTTCTGAGATCTGGTATGGTTTAAATTATCCATAAACAATTTTTATACATGGCGATTTCACCAAGGAATTTCTCACTTCATGACAGATAAGTAATATGGGAGATAAATAATGATTAGAAGCCTTGTAAGAATCCCGTTATTATGTTCCTACATATAAAGAATTTATGTTCACCAAGGCCATTAAGTAGAAAGTCGCTCAGAATGTAAAGATTTTTCTTTTCTCATAACATTCAAGACATTTTTACATGTGTACATTTTTCTTAAGTGTATCAAATGATATTTACCCAGCCGTTGCCTTATAACAGTATTATTATTGTATCGTATTTTGAAGGTCAATTAAATGATTTAAACAAAATAATTAATGATTTTTGCAATCATTTGATGAATGACGATGTATCATTACAAAACAACACTTTCGAATAATACAAACGCTTCATTTCCGTGTCGAATGTATTAAGAAATGGAAAATGATTTTCATGAACTTCTATGAAGAATAGGTAGATGAAAAAAAAAAACTTTAGACCTTCATATATCTGTTCTCCGGAGGTAAAGTACACCCAATCACATTTTTGTGTTAGTTCAAGCAAAGGCAGATCTACAGGGATGGGGGGGGGGGGGTAGGAGAGGGGTGGAGCTTTCGGACTGAAGCCCCCTAAAATGGTAAAATATAACTATGTTTTACGCCTTACGTGGAATTACCGTATAAATAATAAACTGACCCAAACATACGCAAGGTTAGCAATGTTATATCCCATAGTAAATAGAAAATCTAGTTTAAAACCAGAGACAACTGTTCTTATTCATAAAACCATACTAAGAGCTTGCTAATGTACGGATGTGAAGTCTGGGGAGCCGCTTCAGCTACGAAAAGAAAAAAACTGCAATCCTTTCAAAACAAGGTATTAAGAATTGCAGTAGATACCCCCTGGTTCATAAGAAACGCTCAACTACATCGAGAACTAAAATTGGAAACAATAGATGAATTCATCAAAAAAAGATTTAAAAAATTCCATACGCAGCTACCAGCAGTTAAAGGTGCAGTGGCCTACAACTTAGGAAACCCAACCTCATCTCGAAGACTGAAGCCCAGACTGATCCAAGACATCATGTTATGAACAATTAATAATTTTCTCTTTATTAATTGTAATTATTCAATAATTATAATGTATAAATAGTTAGGGGTGTCTTTTGCAAAGACTATACCCCACCAGAACAAATTGTTAAAAATCATCAAATTGTTACAACAACCATGTAAGGCCCACCAGGCCGATCTGGTAATAAATAAATTAAAAAAAAAAAACTATGTTTTATAAAAAAAATAATCTGTAAAGGTTTTACTGTTTTTCTGATTACATTTAAGTTAGTTAGCTTCTTTCTTTCTTCCGAAGTAATTATCCTAATTTATACACCAAAAAAAAATCTTTTCTGATGAAGCACCTCCAAAATTAGATAATGGATCCGTTAGTGAGTTCAGGGAGCCAATTTTTCATAACTTTGAAATATTAAAATTTGTTTCTTATTTACTAAATTATTTAATAATAATAATAATAAAAAAAGACATGGTCCATTATCACCGGGGCACTGATATTTGCTAGGATTTAGGAATGGCCATCAGTACTCGATATTATGGAAATACCGATATTTCCCTTTCGTTATTCGATATTTTACCATTGTTAGTATCTGCTTTGATATTATGGACTGTCGGTATCGTTCCTTAATATTTAAAATTAAAATTAAACTATCGTTTTCGGAAAGCACTAGGAATTATGTATGAATCTGATCGTTAAAAAAAATATACTCATCTTGCCTGTTTCATATCATTGACTCATAACATCAATTTTTTTATTTACCGAATTAAGGTCCAAATCATGATTTTTTTAAATTTAGCTGAAGATTAAAATTTTCTATTAATTCGTTGGTAAGGGGTAAGTGTTCCTTTAATATCCATCGTCCAGGCACTGTTATCAACCAGAAAAAAAAAAATCTATGTTTTTAAAGTTAAAACATTCATACAAGTAATTAGAATATTGTTAAAAATGTAAAGCTCCTGAATTTTTTGAACCAACCAATCCACGATCCCAGGTCATTAGCCCAACGCCCATCGAGATCTGTTTCAATTTTAGTAGAGGTCGACTCAAGGACGCTCCGGTATTTCCATTCCTGGGCGCCATTTAGGATTTTCGTAGATTTTTTTGTGTGTTGGTGTATTTTTTTTTTTTATTTATCAATACTGGTTGACAGTACTTCATATTACAAAAGTTATTTACAATTTGAATGATGCGGTCAATGAAGAGAAGGACTGGAAAATATGTGTTAAGAGGAAGAAAAGAATCGTTTAAAAACAAATATTACTGTAGTTTTTAATTAAAAAAAAGATAATATTTTATGATTAAAAGTTTAGAAATATTTTGTATTAATTGTGGAAAAAAAACAACAACAACAGAATATAAGTAAATATAAGGAGTAACAAATATATTTAGGAAAATTTTCAGTTAATCCTATTGGTCAGGGTACAGGGCGAGAATAAGGGAAAGGGCGGAGGGCTTTCGAACTGAAGTTGCCCTCAAAAATATTGTTATTTTTTTTCAATAAATATTTTTTTGTTCAGTAATTGTTCAATAGTTGTTTTTGTCCATAATTTTTTTTTTTTATAAGTAAACTGAACTAAATACTAAATGACGACTTTAGGTACTACTTCAAATATTATAATGGATCTCCAAGGACGATTTAAACACCTTTTGATATAGTTTCATTCTTTTTCTTCCGAAGAAGAATGAACTGAATCAGAAAGCACTTGTGGCATGATTTATAAAGAAATGATATTTTTCAGCATCGTCACAAATATTTTTAAAATATATTTTTCTGCAGAGTTGTCATATTATTGTATGTACCTACTCGATTATGAACGTTATCGGCAATGTTGCTTATAAGTGAAGGCAAGATTTAAAATATTGATCATTTGTAAATAATTTTACCAGATATTTTCTGCTCTAAAGTAGGACATATCCGTTAATTAGCAAGATAGTAAAAAATCGCAGTCAATGAATGATATTTTTCTATTAGTTTTGTAAAATTAAAAAGTGTTTTACTATATACAAATATATATAAAGATCCTAATAATAGAAATAATATAATATAGAATATCCCAATTATATAATATTTATATAAAATAGGTTATTAATAAATAAATGTATTGAACATTTACCCGAACTGGTTAGCTAAGTTATGTGAGTGGATATACCAAATTTTGTTTGTATATAACTATAAACTGTAATAATCTGAGGTTTTTCTTAAAGCATGATGGTTGAGGAACGATTGTAAATTGAGGGACTGATAATCGGGACATATACCCGTTCCTTGGCAATTTCTGGGGACATTACCTTAAAGTTGGATTCTTAGAACTGGAAATTGGATCTCCGCTGGAGTTTCCAAATATCTACAAGTTGTCAGCTATTTCTTACCACAATCTGTCCATAACGACTTCAGATTTTTTTTTTGTATTACAGTAAAGGAGGGAACAATAATAAATAGTTTGTAGTACTGTCACCTCACGGTTTTGTGATACATAATTTTCATAGTAGGCATTGAAAAGGTCAACTATAGGTTTCTGTGAGGATAATTCTACTAGTCCGAGTTAAAGTCCGAATTAAATTTTTTATCGAATTACTAACATCCGCCTGAAACTTCGTTAATAGTTTCATCTCACCGTAACCTACCACTATTTTATTTACGAAAAATCTGGGAATTGTGGCGTTTTCAATCTGGAGAGGGACAAACTTTGTCTATTTCATTACGTACTAAAAACTCGTGAATACCTTATTGCTTTCTACTTGGATCGTAAGATGATTTGATCACAAAATCGAGAAAAAAGGCTGCCTTCAAAAATATTAAGCCGTTTGGCGTGACCTACACTCCCAAAATTTCAAAATAACGAGGTAATATAGGACAAACGGCTAGATATTTTTGAAGGCCACCTTTTTTCTCGATTTTGTAATCAAATTATCCTACGATCCAAGTAGAGTAAATGGGTATTTACGAGTTTTTAGTACTTAATGAAATAGACAAAGATTGCCTCACTTCAGATTGAAAAAGCTCTAATTCCAAGAGTTTTTGTAAATAAAATAGTTGTAGGTTACGATGAGATGAAATTATTAACGAAGTTTCAGGCAAATGTTAATAATTCGAGAAAAAGGGTCTGTACCACGGACAATACAGTTCTGTAACCTAAATTCAAAGGTAAGTTACATTGAGTCTTTCCAGATCTAAAATTCCTTGCCGAAGTAGAGCTTTGATGGATCTATAGACGACCACTTGTCCTGGAAATACACGCCATCGGAACTAGATTAGTATATCGGCACCTCATAGGATATCCACATCTCATCAACTTTAAAATTACATTTTTTTATTTTCTTAGGCACTGCACTAATCAAGTACAACGTCAAATAGGAACATCCATGATTAACGTTTATTTTGAGGCGAACTAAAGCAATACATCTCACATTCAAAGTCTTCCACTTTGGCTGAAATAACTTTTAGCTACTGGATCGTCAACACTATCTGCTCTAGCTTCAGATTAAAAAAATAAAATGCACAAATTACATATTGATGGAAAATCTTACCTGTGGTGGTTTTTTCGGTAACCGTCCTGGATTCTGTATAACCGTTGGTGGTTTTCTCTGTATTCTGCGTTGAATACCTCCTAGTCGTAGTCCTGTCGGGTGATCGTTTCTCGGGTGATGATTCTCTAACATATCGTTCAGGAGAGACCCGGGGAGAGGATTGAACGCGTTCCCTTCTTTCCGGCGATGCTCTCGGAGAGCTGTAAGTCTGTTGCCGTCTCTCGGGCGAAGCTGATGGAGATCTTCGGGACGGTTCACGCCGTTCTGGTGACGATATAGGAGAGCTGCGAACATGTTCTTGTCTCTCCGGTGATTTTGAAGGGCTGGCTTGTCTCTGTGAAAGTATGTTTATGTTAGAATATGGCAGTGGTATCCTTTGATAAAATTAAATAAATATAATAGCGTAATAATTTATCCTGTAGAAAGAAAATACAGAAGTAATTTTCCTAATGTTTGGTACCGTTAAAGATCCGATGATACCAAATCTCCATTATTTATAGCCTATAACCGATTCTATACACAACAATGAATGCCTCAATAGTAGACAAAAGACCAAGCCGAAGGTTAAAACCATATGGATAGGTCGAATCAACAAAGATGCAATAAAACTTCGTGCAGATAACTGGAAAAAAGTGACCCAAGATAAAAGATGATCTCATATTCCATCATGAAAATTCGAGGCCTCACGTTGCAAAACTAAAATTGCCAAACTTGAATGACTTTGGCTGATAAATAATTCCTCAACTACCATATTCTCCTTATTTAGTTCCTTCGGATTATCATTTGCAGTCTCCAAAACTCATTACGTGGCAGGGACATGAATTCAGCCGATTAAGTGAAAAATGAGGTGTTGGCTTTTTTTAATTGAGAAGGATTTTTTCAGATAGGGTGTGCAAAACTTGGTTTCAAGATGGCAAACTGTTATTGAACGAGATGATAAATACATTTTAGATTGAACGTGTTTCATAGATTTTATTTTAGTCCTTATATCTCGCAACTCAATACCGATATTACTTATGGGATGATCTGATACAAGAAGGCTGGTTAAGGCGGAAAATAACCTACGAGTTCTATACTTCCAAAAGTGAAAACAAATATATATAAACTCATAATTGGTAAATGGTTGACTGTGGTGGACATATGTAGGCATATGTAAAAATAAATACTATCATTTATTTTTGCCTTCTTTTTTGACTGACCCCAACTATTCTTCTCTTCGTTATCCACGGGCACATGTAAAAATAAATATTATCATTTATTATTGCCTTCTTTTTTGACTGACCACACAAACTATTCTTCTCTTCATATATAAACTCCTTCATCTTCCTGATTGTCACAAATAAAATTATTTCTTATATCATAATAAAATTTTATTATATTATATAAATAAAAGTATCTTAAATATATAAAGATAGCTAGTGGAATACAGAGTACTTGTTCTACTACACCATACAATGAGTCATTCAATATGGACGCTCAATATCATTGACCTCAACGCTCCAAGAACAAGCTCTTTATATTACATTTTTGTGATATGTATAATTATTTTGCAGCTTTCATTAAATCGATTGTTTTGGGAGTAGCGTTCAGCAAATTTTTTAAGACGGATTAATGTCACCATTAAATCTTAAAAAATGGCTTCAGTTTATAATCTCATGGTCAGAAAAATTAAGCGTGGGCGTAAATATCTGGTGAATGCAGAAAAAGTGTTTGGGCTGCTTGGGGGAAAAATATTAATATCGAACGAAAATAGTCAATAAAGGATGGAAGAAAAAGACTAGATGGTCAAAAGAAGGCACCGTACCTACAGCTACTCACCGCAGGTTCCTGCTAAGCTGGGGAAGAAGTACAGTGCACTGCCATGCTACCAAAAAGTTAGTAACTCGTGGCCCTCATCAGTAAGAGAAAAACGATAATGCTAAACGCGATGTTGGAACAAACAAGACACTGTAATTTCTTATCAAGTATTCTATATTAGAGACTTCATGAATTTTAATATTACAAGCTACTAGTGTATATGCATATAGTCGGTATAAGTGGATCGTCGAAATATGTGCAATGTGTCCTCAGAAAATATAAGGTTACATTGTTTTATTGATCTATATAACTTAAATAAATAAATAACGTGTTTAAATGCATTTACCATACCTTAATGTCTCTCACTGATGGTAAGGTCGACTGTATCGATGATGTAGACTTTGTTACTTTAGTTGTAATGGTCGAGTTTTTCTCTTCTTCGATTTGTTTTTTAACGAGTCGTATTTGTGCTCTGATTCTTCGGCGGTCATCGTATCCTACAGCTTTGAGCAACTAGGCATATACAGAGAAAAATATAAATAACAAAGCAACTATTATATTTAAAATACATCTAATAAGTATGTTTAAAAAGAATTAAAGAATTAATGTAAGTGAAACTTGTAAGTATGAAAATTAATGAGGATTTGGGAAAGAAAAGTTTTTTAAAATGAAAACCATGAAATTTTTAAAAAATATTTTTCAGAACTGATTGTGGGATAATTAATTTTGGTAAAGAGAGAAAAAAAAAACTCACCATTTCCTCTAGCAGCTCTAAATCAAATATAGATTCTATATCAATGTCAGCTGGCCTGCTGTTTTGCCTCTGAATCGTCTTTGTCACCATTTTCCCAGAAGATGGGGTCTTTCTCAGTGTCACACCAAATTTTCCTCCTACTTCTTGTTTCGTTTCATTTCGAATACTGGTCCTCCTCGTGGCTGTTTCTTCAAGAACCTCTTCCGGTTCGGATGGCCTCCTTCTTGGTTCGTCCGATTTGATTGGACTTCGTGGGCGGCTGTGTGTGTTACGTTCCGGAGTGCTGCCTCTGAATTGTTTTTCCGGAGTCTGCCCGCGACCTGAACTGCTTACGGTGCTTCTCATGTATGATTCTGTAACTGTTCGATATGTTTCCGTATCATCGGTGACGTCAGATTCGTTGTAGTCAAGACGTGACGGTGTTCTCGCCGTGTCTTGAGCTTTGGGCCTTTTATAATCTGGACTATGACTTTTAGGCACCTTGCTAATATTTTCATTGGTTTGATGATCGGGAGTGTAGCTCCTGACAGTGTTTGTAGTGGTAGTCTTCGAGTAGGATTCAGTTCGTGAAGATGGTCTTCTGACTATTTCCTCTGGTTTTGAAAATTTCTCATATACATCTTCTGGTTTTGATGGCTTTCTTACGATTTCTGCTGGTCTTGAGGTCTTTCTAGTAATCTCTTCTGTGTTTGAGGGTTTCTTAGTGATTTCTTCTGGCTTTGATGGCTTTCTTGTTATTTCTTCTGGTTTAGAAACTTTTCTTATTATTTCCTCTGGTTGCCTATCCGGCGTTTGCCCCCTTATTGAACTAACAGTCGTGCTTTTTATGGAAGATTCAATTCTGTTGTGTGATCTGCTATCTGTGTGTACCTTACTATCAGTTTTCGATGGAGAATGAATTATTTCTTGGGGTTTTGAGGTTTTCCTAACAATTTCTTCTGTCTTTGTTGTTTTTCGTTCAACAGTATCTACTTTTGATGGTTTCTTTATAGGTTGTCCAGCATCTGATGGCCTTTGGTGAGCGATTTCTGATTTTATTAATTTGTCTGATTGATCACTTTCGGAAACTTTCCTGGTTATCACATCAGTTTTAGAGAAAGTTTGGTTTATATCTTGAGAATGAGAAACTTTTCTGGTAGTTTCAGAAACTATTTCTTCTTCTTCATCTGTATATCTGCATACATCATTTTTGTCAGGCGAATGTGATCTGATAACAGTTTCAGAGACTTTTTTCTCTGTTCTTTGAAACTTGGATCCAGACGTGTCTGGGCTTGAGCGACTTGGGCTATTAAACTTAGAAACCTGTGGTTTCGTTTTCGAAGCAGCAATAGAAATATCTTTTACTTTTTTTTCAAAAAAATCTTTCTTCGATGAAACATCGACTACGGGACCAGATTTTTTTCTTTCAAAAGGTTTCTTAGATTCGATCGGTTCCTTTTGTTTAGGAACGTTTCTTTGAGGGCTTGGAGATTTTTCTTTTAAGCTCGGACGTCTTTTGGTTATATCCGTCTGTGAAGTCTGCTTTCTGACTGAACTATCTTCAACAGTAGTTCTAATATTCTTTAGTTCCACCAAATTTACTTCTTCCGTTGTTCTTTCAAATGATTGCTTTCTTGTATCAACAATAGAATTTTTTTTATCAATACTAGTTTTAGAATCAGGTGTGGCATTTAATGGTTTAGATGTCTGTCTTTGAGGGCTAGGTGATTTTTGTTTTGAAACACGCCTTGGTGTTGTATCGTCCTCTTGAATATGATCAATAGTTTCTCTGATTTCAATTTCTTCTGTGGTATTTTCGAACAATCGTTTTTTAGCTCCAACAATAGTGGAACTCTTTTTATCGATTGGTTTTTTATTTTCAGGTGCAGTATTAGTTTTGGGAGACTGTCTTTGTGGACTTGGTGATTTTTGTTTGTTAACACTACGTTTAGGCGTTGAATCTTCTGATTCATAGGGACGTTTTACAGTTTCTTTGATTTCAATATTGTCAGTTGTTCTTTCGACAGATTGCTTTCTATTACTTAAGGTGGTTGAATTTTTCTTGTCAACAGACTTTTTACTATCAGTAGTTTTAGGCACTTGTCTTTGAGGACTAGGTGATTTTTGTTTGTTGGTACTACGTCTTGTTGTTGTATCTTCGGGATGACAGGGCTCCCTAATTTCAGTTTCTTCTGTTGTATTTTCGAATATTTTTTTCTTTGTTCCAACAGAGGTAGAAATCTTCTTTTCAGATGTCTTTTTTGTGACTTGAGCAACATTGGAGCCAGTTTTAGGGGACTCTCTTTGTGGGCTTGGTGATTTTCGTTCATAAAGATTACGTTTCGGGGAAGTATCTTCGGGATGGAAGGGAGTCTCTTCTGTTTCTATGCTTATAACTTCCTTAACAGCTTGACGTTTCAAGTCATTTTTTATTTCATCATATACTTCTTCTACTTCTTCTTGTTGTCTTCTTTCAAAGTAGTCCTTTTTAGATGTAACATCAACAGAAACAGTAGAGTGTTCCTCAGGTTTATTTGAAGAAGTTGGCCGTTTCTCATGAACGTTAGATTCATTTAATACGGTCTCATCGTCATCATCTTCGGTTATTTCATCTTGAGTTGTTATTTCTTTTTCAATGAATGATTTTGAAACATCTCTCTCTGTGCTTATTTTTTCATTTACATAAATGTCATGATGGGTCTGTCTCTTTGGAGTTTTTTGTTCTTGATCGATTGGTTGGTTGGGGTAATGATTTTGTGTATTGTTATAGTTTGGAGATTTAGGCGTTTTTTCTGGGTGCTGGTTACCAGACACTTGATTCTTAGCGATATTTTCAAACATGGTTTTGGCTTTAAGTACTGATTTAGGGCTAGATACGACGGGTTCTGGTTGATGAACTGTTTCTTGGGTGACTCTAGTCGCTTCTAAGAATACATTTACCCGATCAGCAACACTTTTCACATCAATAGTTTCATCTTCTGTTAGTCGGATTGGTGTTCCGGGACCACGATTGTCATCATATATTACCTCAACATCATCCGGTTCGGTGATGTAATCGGCATACCTTGGATTGGAATCGCCATCTTCACTAGTTGTACAAAACGGCTGATTTGTACTTGGATAGCCTGGACTTGACTCTCTTGATGATTTCGGATGTTGGACTACCACGGTTAACAAATCTTGGATGGATTCATGGGTAACTTGATTATTTTCAATAAGATTGTCATTTTCAAGGACTTGGCTTTGCTCTATTTCTTCTTCTTCAGAGGACGAAGAAGAAGAAGAGCTTTCGTAGCCCTTTGAAGTGTTGCGTTCTGTTTGAAGTTTCCTCGTAGTTTTTCTCGTTTTATTCGTCTCTCGTATTGTTTGACCTTTTTTGGTTGTAGGGGTCGTTTCTGTTTGATTGGCTGTCTGTTTGGGCTTAGAAACTTTAGGAGTCGGCTTAACCGAGCTTCTAGCTTTTGGCGATCCTTGCTTTGTTTCTTTAATGGATGTTTTTACAGTTTTGCTAACATTGACCGATACATCATCAACAGTTCTTATCGATTTCGGTTGTCTTTCAGGACTTGTATCATCAGTTCTGTCGTCATATTCAGCGTAAAATTCTTCTGGGGGGTTTTCATCTTCCAAATCAAGAATAGATCTTTCCCTCTTCAGAAAATCCTCATTTTCAGAAGTTGTTTTATTCGTCACAGTGACTTCTGTTATTTCAATTTCATCGTTACGCTTTATAGCTTTCTTATTAGCCGGCGTTTGTGTTGTTCGTTTATTAACTGTTGTTTTGATAGGGGAATTGCTAAGCCTTGGTATCCTATGTGTTGAAGGTTTGTTATTTGAAGTTTCAGGAGTTTTGGGTTTAGTGGGAGTTGATTTTGGTGTTGCTATTTTAGAAGGAGTTCGTTTCGGAGTTGTTTCAACAGGTTTCCGGGTACCATTTGTGGGTTTGACATGTGAGGACTTCACAGTATCTTGCTTTTGTTCAGTTATCTTATTAGTCCTAGTTATTGATGTTAGCCTCGTCGTAGGTGCATTTCTTGGTATAGGCGTTGCTTTTCTTATGATTTGGGTGGGAGCCTTATTATTGGTTGGTTCGATCTTATCTTTTGAATTTCTGGGGGACAGCTTATTAGCTCTCGGTATACTGGAGTATCTGGTCGTTCTCACTGTTTCTTTAGTAGTTGTCTTTTGCACTATACGCTGATTGCTGGTCGGTGCTGTTGGTGTTAGCTGGTTATTTGTCGGAGTGTTTTCCCTCCTCGGTTGGGTCGGCTTTGCGGCCTTTCTTTCGGGACTAATGTTCCTTTCAGGGCTTGATGAAGGAGATGATTTCTGTCGGTGAGATAATGGAGATGTCTTAGGGGACATTTTATGAGTTTGTTTAATAGGTTTTCTTTCAGGACTGGTGGAAACCGACCTTTCTCGAGCTTCAGTTTTAGTTTCTTTAGATATAAATGTACTTGAGGCTGTTTGATCAGTTTTCACCGTAGATTTTGGAGCCGTTTGAGTCAAACGCCGTTCTGGGGAAGAGGAAATAGAACGTCTGTTTTCATCAAGAGGTTTCTTTTTCGGGTTTTCACGTTCGGGTGACCTTGAAGAAGGATGACGTCTATCTGGACTAGAACGATCTGGTCTTTTATTAATATTTTCAGTTGGTTTATTCTGAGAAGAGGTTTTGGGATTTCTCTCAGTTGTAGATGGCGAATCAGAGGGTCTTTTTTTATTTAATTGTCTCAATGGTTGTCTGTCTGTTTGTTTCCTTTCAGGGCTGGATGAAGTCTTGTGCGTAGAAACGTTGGTATTAATGTTTTCTACATGCGATTTTGGACGAGTCTCTTTATTTGTCGGTTTATTCGTTTCTTTTGGATGACGTTCAGGACTAGATGTTGGAGATTTACCTTTGGTTGATCGTTCTGTCACAGTACGTTGTTCTTCAGCCACTGTTTTTTCAGTGATTACTTGGTTTTTAGTCAATTTACATTGATTATCTACCGCGTCTTCTGGATGTGGCATATGTTGGGTATCGGAATCATAATCAATCGGCGTTGTAACATCGGTTATTTCAATGATATCTTTTCGGATTACGTTATCTGTGCATATTTGTTTTTTTGTCTCATTAGACTCAATTGTTTCATTTTCACTGACAACATGTTTCTGTTCTTCTAAAATAAAATTTTCGTTTGTATCGTCAGTGGTTGATTGTTTTATTGGTTTAAATGAGTTATTATTAGTAGTGAGTTCAGATCGGCTTGTTATTGATTTATTGATTTCCCTACTCACTGAACCTTCCGAACTATACTCTGGAGATTTTTCCCTTGGCTTCGTTTTCTTCGTAATAGTAGAGTCATCAACATCAACAGCCCTTTCAGTGATGTGTTCTGATTTTTCTGTTTTTAATGTCGTCAAGTTCTCATCTCGGAATGAACTAATCGATGATGCTTTATTATAAGTGGCTTGAGATATATCGGATTCACTACCAGATGTAACTTCTTTTTTTGTCACGGTTCTAGTTGGGCTTGTTGAAGGAGATACTCCTGGTGTGGAAACTCTAGTTTTATTTGCAGCTTTTTGTTGAGTGGATGAGAACTTCCTCCTGGTTTTATTTGTGGTGTCTCTAACCATCTGCTGGGTTATTTCAGTAGTTTTCCTTCGAGCATCTTTTTTCCTATCAATTGTATAGCTCTCACCACTTCCTCGACGTTCTCTTTCTGGTGTCTTAGATGGGGATGTGTGATATGTTCTATCAGGAGTACTTCTGTCGAGTGATCCTTTAGAAAAAGACCTACGCTTGCAAGTCTCAGGACTACTTCGGTCCAAAGAACCTTTGGAAGTAGCTCGAAGCTTTCTGTCTGGACTGTTTCTGTCTAACGAGCCTCTGGATGACTTTGTTGGAGATGGTGTCAAGCGGTCAGGACTTGCTCTGAGGGTCCTTACGAAAAATTCATGCGAAGGACTGTTGTCTACGCTTATTCTATTATAGGACTGTTGATAAGTTGTTACATACTGTCCATCAGTGGCATCCTTTGGAAGATCTAAGGATGATGGATGTTTAATCGGTTGTTCCCTTGTCGTTTGAGCCAGGGATTGGGGCGTGCTGGCTCTAGGTGTATTATCGTTTTGATACACGAACTCACCTCTATCGTCTCTATTAGAGACAACGGTCCATTGTGCTCCATCAGTGACAGTTCTAGGGGACGCTGGTTCTGAAGGTACTGGGGTATTTTGGTGCTGCAGATATGTATCTAGTTTATTGATTTCATTCATAATTTTCTGATCTGTATTGGAATGGACTCGAGTTTGATTTATGGACGAATCCCGGGAATCATTTGATACTTCTCTTACAGTAGTATATCTCTCTACTACTTCTTCATTTACAGATGGTGTTTTAGTTACTGATTTAGGTGTTTTCCTATCAAAAGTAGATGAGTCAATTTTTTCATTTGTAATGTATTCATTGAAGTCAGAAATTTCGTTTTGTTTTTGGATTTGTGAAATTTCCTCTTCACGACGAACATTTTTAGTTCGCTGAATGTTATGTTCATTTTTTGTTGAACTATCTTTCACGACTGTTTCAACAATATCTGAACGAGAATCATAATCTGGTCTGTATCTATTTTCGTTTTCGATAGCGTAAGTATCACTTCCATCATTTTCGACGGTAGTGGAATAGTTCGTTGTGTAATGTTGAACAGTATTATATGCTTCATTCGTTCGATGAGTTTGATAATGTTTCGAATCATGAGAAGTCTGATGCGTTGATGACTTAGTCACATTAACATCTTGTGTGTCACTGATTAATTGCTCTTGTGGTTGTTGAAACCTTAAATTATTGATTTCATCTTGGACAATTGTTGACGTTTGTCGATTTGATTCATGTACATTTGCTTGTTCAGATCGGAGATTTGATGCAAAATTTGTATGATCGTCTCCTGACGTAATTGCTTTTACATCTGTGTCAATCAAACGCTTTTCTCCTCCAATGATTTGATATTTGGAAGTAACCGATGAGCTGATTACTTTCCTTGAAGAAGATGTGGTTGAAGACATTTTCGTTGAAGCAGATGATGATTTTGAAGTTTTTTCTTCGTGATATGATTCAGAATTTTGAGATTCTGATGTTTCTTTGCGAGAATTCTTGTCATCGGATTCAGTGACTGAAGCAAATTTTTGACTTTGTTGAGTAGATTCAGATTTTACAGACATATTATCGTCTGATTTTGATGTTTTTTCATGAATGTTTTGAGCAGAAAGCGCCATTCGCGTCTCAGCATTACCTTCGACGACCACCCCTTCACCTCTTCGAGATTCTTCACTCCTCTCTATCTGTGCTCCATCTTGGTTGCCAGAGGTGTAACCTCTTTCTTCTACCGACTGCCAATAGCCATTGTTGGCTCTTCGGCTGAAGTCCCGTGTAGGGGATTCAGAATCTCTTATTTCCTTGCTCTTCATGCTTAAGAAGCCCTGATCACCAATCGATTCAGTATGGGTAGTTGTCGCGTGCTTCCTCCCGGTAATTTCACTAACAACCTCGCCTGTTGTGTAAAAATCCCTCAACCTTTGTTCTCTTAATCTGTACATCCTTGCTCTGATTTCTTTCTTCCTCCCCAAGTCTTCTGTATCTGCCCACTGAAAGAAGAAATTGAAAATTCATATTACAAAATAATAATCTTTTTTTTTCAACTAACTTGTTCTTGGAAAATGTTTTTATATTTGTTGTGTTAACAATTAAATAGATTTATCAGCAGTATTTTTTTTAATTATAAGTTCAAATTTCTTACTCACCATTCTCCTCAATACGTCCTCATCCTGGATGAGAGTGAGGTCGGCGGAGACCTCGGCCGCCATTTTCAGTTTTCTGTAAAAACGTATTTAAAAATTATTTCTTAGTTAAATATTTTTAAAAAAAGTTAAACTTTTACTCATGACTTCTTTTGTGTTACTTGACGGTTTATGTTATAAATCCAATTCATATTTTTTTATTCGTGCATAGTCAGGTATTATATGTTTGTGTGAATATATGAGTTATATATATATATATATATATATATATATATATATATATATATATATATATATATATATATATATATATATAGAGAGAGAGAGAGAGAGAGAGAGAGAAAAAAAATACTCTAAAAAATGAGAAATAACACTAAACTTAAAAAAGTTATTATTTGAATCTTTAGACGGTGTTTATGTAGTATTATTATAGATAAATAACAAAAAGCATATGACTTCATTGATGCCAAGATTATTCATTTGAAATTAATTAAGAAAATAACTTTTTTTTCGAGATAATAGGAACAAAAATGAAATTTCACCACAAGTTGCTGATATGTTGAAACACTTTGAAATTGTCTTGAAAATGTCTCGACCATTTAAATATATAAATTTCTTCGACCCATGAAAAAAAAATATGAAGTTTTTTTTCTGAATGTTTTGATAATAGATATAAATTATGATGTATCCAATAGTAATTAAGAAAAAAAAATTCTTAGTGCGACCAATGTGCGATAATCTTTTTAAATACTTCTTGAAAAGTTAGTATTATTAACATATAACCTACTTATTTGTGGTAAAATATTACGAAAATCGTGAATTCAATTTTTTTTCTCAATTTACACCTTATGTCATATAGAAAAAAAAATCTAATATTTACTAGGCAAAACTCTATCTAATTAGCCCGTTCGAAAAAAATTATTAACGTTAACTATTGTGCAGATTTTAAAATATTTTTATCAGGTTATTGGATTACATTTTCATTTGTAAACCATCAAAGAAAATAAATTAGTACCTACTGCATAATAACCGATCACAAATATCGATTAAACTTTTATTTTTTCTAATCCCTTGTTCTGAATTGCGCAATAAGTTAATAATGAACCTAATTGAGGCCAAGGTGAATCTTAAATGTCCTAGCGAAAGATATTTTATGAAGATATAGATTAATCCTTTGTTGGGATAGAATGGATTGTTGAGTAACATGACCGTCACATCTTGTAGCCTATTCATGGTGACGGTATTATAGTTTCTCCGTTAATAGGAGAGCTACTAAAATTATAATGATAAATAACACGGTATAAAAAATAATGGTTGGTATATAGTTATCGTTAATTTGACTCATATCAATTCCGTGCTTCCTAAAACATTAGCTTAAACTCCGCATATTAAATGTTGATTTTTTTTTTTTTTGTCTCATTTACTCAGGCCAATGAATTTACGTTTATGATAATACTTGCACATAAACTTAAATGTATTAAAATGCTTTAAGCTATTGGTGGTCTATTTAGAAAGCTTGATAGAGATACATGAATGCAGAAAAATAAAAATTAAATATTTTTACATATTTATAAATTTTATGTTACATATTTTATGAGTATGAAATTTTTATTTCATTTAACTATTACATCATTATTAGTCAAAACCCTTGGCCAACGATCTTTTTTACAATTTTAAACGGACGTAACAACAGCTTAGAATGAGACATGGCTATAGCTGACATACCTCTGAGGAGGAGACTAAAAAGGTGTTGGATAAGAGATCTTCCTTAACTAATTAAATTAAGCCCAGGAAAAGATACAAAATGCCTGCCATTTCATTATTTTCTGTTATAATTTAGATAGATAGATAGAAAAAAAAACTTTATTCTGGGACTGACGTGTTTCTACATCGTCTCTCAGAATTTACTTATTTTGCAGTGAAATCTTTGAGATTATTTATTCAAAACAAGTCAAGAATACACAATAACAATTGATATTTATTTTTTGTTATAAATTATAGGGTTATTTTTATTTTTTTTTATTTTTTTTTTTTCACTTTTTTTTTTTCCCTTATATGCGATTTCACAATCAGGCCATGTCTAGTAGAGCTTCTATCAAGAGAATTCGGCCGTTAGGCTCAACACCTTGTTCTTCGCCTGTCAAACAAAAGCCTCGTCAATGTCGTCAAACACCTGCAGTAACGCCTATTAGCTCCAGAGAAAATGAAACCCAGCCAGGAACATCATCAAAACCAACAATTGAAGAACTTCAGCATCAACCAGGTACATCTTCACAAGAGATAACCGAACAATCTCCGTTTTTCACCCCTAACCCCTATCAGGTGCTTCAGAATGATAAAGAAGTGATGGAATCCGCTTCAATACCAAGAGATCCCCGACCTCCACCCATATTCGTTAAAAACATAAGCAATTTTCAGTTACTATGCTCACAACTGAACAAAATAACAGGCTCTGGAAGCTATTCATGTCTAAGCAGAACAAAGGACACGAAGATATCACCAGATACAGCTGAAACCTACAGAAAAATTGTGAAGTATCTAACGGAAACCAACGCGGATTTTCATACGTACCAATTACGGCAAGATCGAGCTTTGAGGGTAGTCATAAGAAATCTACACCCCTCAACACCAACCGAAGCAATAGAAGAAGAATTGAAAACTTCAGGTTTCATAGTGCGCCAGATTACAAATGTACAGAAGGAGAGTAAAGAACAGCCAGGAGTAAAAGTTCCTCTACCCTTATTTTTCGTAGATTTGGAGCCAAATCAAGGGATCGAAAAAATATACGAAATAAGAAGAATATACTACACAAGTGTTATAGTAGAGAAGCCATATCCTAAGAGGGAAATCGTACAGTGTCACAATTGCCAGGCATATGGCCATACCAGGACTTACTGCCATCATCTGCCGCGCTGTGTGAAATGTGGAGAGCAGCACAAATCCGGGGAGTGCACAAAACCGAAACGGGATCCTGCAGTTTGTGCATTGTGCCTTGAAGGACATCCAGCGAACTACAAAGGCTGTCAGATCTACAAGAATATTAAATCAAGATATCAAAAATCCCGGACCCAAGAAGAAGCAGAGGCATCAAGAAGAGAACCTAACGCATCAAGAAGAGGACCTTCAAAAAAAATTGACCCAACGGTGTCTTTTGCACACTTATTAGGAGGTAAGAATGATGTTACTTATTGTGAGACCCTGCCGCAACAACAACACATACCTCAAAATTCTCAACCCCACCCTCAACATCCTAATCAAACTTCACCTAATCAACAGTTTTATCAACACCAAATTCCCCGCATTCCTCCTCCCTCAAATACCACAGATCTCACCAGTTTACTTACATCTTTCCTCTCCGAATTCAGATCCCTTGTTACTCCTTTGATATCTCTTCTCACCAATCTTGTATCACATTTTATCCCTCCCGCGAAAAATCCTTAAATGACTTCCAATAAACCTTTATCCATTCTCCTTTGGAATGCGAATGGTGTTAGAAATCACACAAACGAACTAACTACATTATTACTTGACAAAAATATTGACGTGGCACTAATTACTGAAACTCGACTAACAACTAAACAGCACTTCAAAATACCACAATACCTGACATATCGTACTGACCACCCTGACGGAAAAGCACATGCCGGTACTGCTGTCATTGTACACCAATCCCTCTCCCATCACCTACTCCCGTTACCTACACATGATTTCCTACAGTCCACCGCTATCGTGATAAAAACCTTTTCCTTTCCGGTTACCCTTGCATCAGCTTATTGCCCTCCTAACCGATCCATATCCAATGCCCAATTCCGTTCTCTCCTCGACTCCTTAGGACATCACTTCATCTTGGGTGCAGACCTAAATGCCAAACATCAACAATGGGGTTCCAGAACCACGAATACTCGTGGCCGAACCCTGCTGTCTGCACTCAATTCCCAACATTTTCACCTCCTTTCCCCCAACTCTCCTACCTACTGGCCTACAGATCCCAACCGTAATCCTGATCTTCTTGATTTCTTTATCCACAGCGGCTTAAGTCCCCTCAATTGTTCCATTACACGTCTAAATGAACTTTCCTCTGACCATAGTCCTCTAATCCTTAATGTTTCACTTGAACCCGTTCCCAAACCTTCTCCACCGTCATTTATTAGGGGCCCAGTTAACTGGGACCTTTTCCGCCAAATCATCTCCGATAAAATTGATCTTAACATATCCCTCAAAACTCCCGATGACCTTGATAGTGCCGTAAATTCCTTTACTACCACAATCCAACAAGCCGCCTGGACTGCTTCCTTCCCAAAAGACTCCTCCAGAATTCCTAAAAAGACCATTCTACCCCAACACCTCCTTGACCTAATCCAAACCAAACGCCGTGCCAGATTATTGTGGCAACGTACCCGACATCCTACCGACCGCTGCTCCTATAATTATTACTGCAAAAAATTAAAACTGGAATTAGCCACCTTCAGATCACATTCCTTCAACTCCTACCTATCCTCCCTTTCTTCTCGCGACAATTCCCTTTGGAAAACCACTACCAAAATCTTAAATCCTCACCGCATTTCCCCTCCCCTCCGACGAGATGATGGCTCCTGGGCAGCATCTGACGAAGATAAGGCTGAGGAGTTCGCCATTCACCTATCCAATACATTTATTTCACATCCGGAATCCCATCCTGCCCACACCGTAACAGTAGAAGAATTCCTTACATCACCAATCCCACTTTCCTTGCCCCCAAAAGCTATTCATCCTTCCGAAGTGAAATTTCAATTAAAAAAATTAATCCCCCGTAAAGCTCCTGGACATGATCTCCTTACCCCTCAAATCCTTCGACAACTTCCATCCAAAGCAGTCATATTCCTTACATATATCTACAACTGTATCCTACGCACCACCCACTTTCCTCTGCTATGGAAACACTCCACTATTATCCTTTTCCAAAAACCAGGCAAACCTCCCAATATCTCAACATCCTATAGACCAATTAGCCTACTCCCAATCCTTTCAAAAATTTTTGAAAAGATCCTTTTGAAACGAATCCTACCCATTATAGAATCCCAAAATATTCCTTCCCATCAGTTTGGTTTTCGCTCCCAACATTCCACTGTTCAACAAGGACTCCGAGTTGTTGATCATATTTCC